AAAAAAAAAAAAAAAAAACACATCATAGTAAAATTAATACCTTCTCCGTTTCGCATCGAAGCTAAAAAATAAACACTTATTATGAACCCGCATTATAATGGTATTATTTTAGTGGTGTTACGTTATTTAGTTGATTAGTAAGTGGACAACTAATGTTTTGGATAAGTAATTTCAATAGTGTTTGAACCGTTGTTGAATAAAGTGTCACATAAATGTAAATTTGTTAATGATTTTTATAACACTATTGATTTATAATTAATTTAATAATAATTGTAAATTCTAGAACTTAAATTATATTATTGTAGTTATTTCGGAAAAGTTAAGTGCATTTTAATTCATATTATAACTTACAGTCCACTCAAGTTACCGTGTCTCATCCTAGGTAGGGTACAATACACAAGTGTAAAAATATTAAATATTAACGTTAATGATATTTAGAAAGTAACAGTATATCAAGAAGAATTTTTTTTAATTTAAAAAATAGTTTTAATATTTTTAATGTAATAATTTATTAGATTAAAATGAACTATTGAAACATATTTGTATTCAGTTTTGTATGTTTCGTAGTATTTGATATACCAAAGACGTGGGTAATATTCTATACATAAAAAGTAATATAATTTAGTTTAAATTATTTTTTTGAGGAAAATACTCAAATAAATCGAAATCAAAGCATGAACGTGATATATACATCTAACAGCTTAAAATGTTATAAAAATTGTTTAATTATAAATTATGTAATGAAACAACTATCTTGGGGAAGGGAGGAGCCGGAGAAAATGTTTTAATTATTTTATAATATAAATATTATTTTTGATAACATAATAATTTTTTTTTCAAAATCTTTCTAAAAACATCAGTTTTAGTAAAAATTGTTATTATTGCTTGAGTTTAAAGAGTGGCCACTTCTCGTACTCACGCAATGATAACAATTTTAGGGGCGAACTTTGGGGTTCTAATCTAAAATTTGAAAACTAAAGGAGGTTTTGAAGAACTCTGTCCTCCATGACAGTTATTCTAATCAATTAAGTAGACGATTTTGTCCCATTTTAGTCTCAGTGATCAATAAGTTAAAAAGTTAGTTTTGCTCATAACATTTTTCTGATGAGCAATTCAGTGAAAAATTAGTCAGCAAATAAGCGTATGTCATCCCCTGAAAATAGTATTCGCCCTTATAACAATAGATGTCTGTGGAAAGAAGATGGGTATAGTATTACGTAGTAAACTTATTTATCATAATTCAGTTATTATTTATCATTCGTTGTGTATAACGTACTCGTGACGCACATTGGATTTCTTTACATATCCAGTACAACATTGATACCGGACAGTATTAAGCCAGGACAGGATCAGTATTGATCAGTAGTACTATCGCAGCATTGGCTTAGTACACCATCGTTACTGTGCTATTGTTTTTCAAGTATAAACTTGATCTGACTCATTATCGGTCCAATACTGGCAATCGAAACAGAATATCGTTATCATTTGAGAATTATACTAAACTATTCAACTCAAAACACCAGAACAGTATCTGTACTAACTAGTCCTGGTATAGTGCTACACTCTTAGTAAATTTCTGTTTAGAATTATTAGGTATTAAGAATATTGAGATCGTTAAATTAAATTTTTTATATAATTGAATAGTTAAAAATGATTTTTTACTACATTAAATATATATTTGAGTTGACTATAAATTAAAGGGTTTACAATGTAAAGTTAATTTTTGAGTTTTGTTAATTTTTTATAATTGCTTGTAGTAGCCATTGAAAGTTTAATTTGTTTATAGATTACTATTAATTATAGTTTTAAAATCAATTTAATAGATAATGAAATACGACATTAATTAAGCATAATAACATATTTTATAGTTAACGTCATTATTTTATAATATCAAGTTGAGTAGTGGAAGTGCAATTTATTTAGCTCTTTTAAAACAATTATTATACCATTTTGAAGGCGTGGCTTTATTAGGATCTTCATGTTTATTAGAATCGTGAATTGTGTATTTTTTAAGGAGGTTATGATAATTGGAGTCATAAATTTCATCATCATCATTTTCCAATGCATACTGATCGACAGTGCATACACTATTCTCACAATAGGCAAATTGTTCTAAAATAAGTGGATTCTTTATGTAGTCAAGATAAGCTTTCAATGCACATTTCACAACGGAACGGTTTACGCATAATTTTGTTTCGTCTAAAAAACAAAATAGTTATAGTTTGACTCAATAAGTATCCATGAATGAAAATGTTTTATTAATAAAACAACCATATTAGGAAATNTTAAATTAAATTTTTTATATAATTGAATAGTTAAAAATGATTTTTTACTACATTAAATATATATTTGAGTTGACTATAAATTAAAGGGTTTACAATGTAAAGTTAATTTTTGAGTTTTGTTAATTTTTTATAATTGCTTGTAGTAGCCATTGAAAGTTTAATTTGTTTATAGATTACTATTAATTATAGTTTTAAAATCAATTTAATAGATAATGAAATACGACATTAATTAAGCATAATAACATATTTTATAGTTAACGTCTTTATTTTATAATATCAAGTTGAGTAGTGGAAGTGCTATATGAATTTATTTAGCTCTTTTAAAAAAATTATTATATCATTTTGAAGACGTGGCTTTATTAGGATCTTCATGTTTATTAGAATCGTGAATTGTGTATTTTTTAAGGAGGTTATGATAATTGGAGTCATAAATTTCATCATCATCATTTTCCAATGCATACTGATCGACAGTGCATACACTATTCTCACAATAGGCAAATTGTTCTAAAATAAGTGGATTCTTTATGTAGTCAAGATAAGCTTTCAATGCACATTTCACAACGGAACGGTTTACGCATAATTTTGTTTCGTCTAAAAAACAAAATAGTTATAGTTTGACTCAATAAGTATCCATGAATGAAAATGTTTTATTAATAAAACAACCATATTAGGAAATATTATATTTATATAACTTTTAAACATTTATAAAAATCATGAACCATAAATAATTAATATGAAATTCATTTTAATATTTTATTTTAGTATTAATCTATAATTTTGAAAAATAGGTTTATGTTATATTTTTGACGATTGAAATGTTATATAATGTCATATGGGCTACAACGTAGCTATGTTGTTAGTTTGTATGAGATAAAATAGTTTTAAAAATTATACTTGTGTAATTTAATGATTCGAACTATAGCCAACAACATAAGTTTTTCTACACAACTTTAACTAGGTAGTTTAGAACCAGACTTTTAAACGAGAAAACAAAAAAATATGATATTGTCCATTAATTGTTAAATTGTTAAATAACATAGAACAACAAATAATAAAAAAAATTTTATGAATAAAATTTCAATATAAAATCTAAAAGGAATTTTAACGCTCATTCGCTTATCTGGCTTTGACATTTTGCTATTACACTACTAATTATTAATTAAGTGTATTCAAGGCGTATTCAGCAAATCGCCTGTAAACCTCTCTTATAATTATTAAAAATGATTTATTATAAAATCTAAATATACTGTACTATTTATCGTTAAAAAAATATAAGATTATATTAAATTATTTCATCAAAATAAAAAAACACTAGAAAAGTATATTAAAAAATCATTATTTGTTGCGAATTTTGAGATTTTCCCTTTTTTTTTTGTATTAACCCTTAAGCAGGCGCGTACCTATTTTTAACGTTCATAGTCGCGTGGGGGTCTATTAGACCCCCTTTCTAAAAAAGTATAAAATATGTATAAAAAAGTTCATTTTTTTTAATTCAAAGACATTATTTGTTAGCATATGATATATAAATATGGATAAAAATTAAAAAATTAAAATTAAAAAATAAATAAATGACAAAATTATGTGCATTACTAAAAATTATATTACGAAAAAAAAAAAACTTAATTTTCAAAATTTCATTAAAAAATTTTGGTTTGAAAAAAATAATTTTAACTGCAATATCTTATTTTTTAGACGGTAAATAAAAGCTGTTACTATTACAAAATGTATTTTGATTAATTTTTCTTGTATTTCTTTGAGCTGAAACATGGCTTATATTTACTAGTTTTATGTGTATTTACATTTACATAATCATTTTTCTGAATTGAATTTTTTTATTATTAATATTACAATACAATTTAATTATTATAATACGAGTAGGGTCAGGAGGGGTAAATGTGAATAGTGGTAATTGTAAATGAGGCACCGATAATCAATGTGTCCACATTGCGACGGGATGTATTTATTACATGTTTAGTTCGTATTTGTTCCGTATCATCGAGTAGTGGAAATTCTCAATAGATTATTTATTTTTAAAACTTAATTGCACAGTCGGTGGCAGATCCCACATAATCCCAATTCCACAATATTATATCGATTATAACATTGCATTTACGATAAAACGATATTTTGAAAAAAAATACAAGTCCAAAAAAAAATTATAACGTTCATAGTCGTGTGGGGGTCAATATGACCCATTTCAACTTTGATGGATATTTTAAGTCATACATTTTTTTTTTTGAAGGTATTTATTTATGAAAATCTATTCAATATTACAATAAAAACCATCTTCTAAATTTATATCTATGTACACTTATTATGCAATATAATACATCCGTTTTTATTCATATGGGGGTATGCTAGACCCCCACGCGCCTGCTTAAGGGTTAAAAATAATTAGTTTGTTTTATATTTACTTAATATACACAATGTTAACATTTTTTAAATCATTAATTGATTTAAATTAAATAGAATTATTCTAAAATTATCTATTTGTTATATTATAATAATACATTTTATAGTTGCCAATTAAACAAAAATAAAAGTTACACTCAAATATTCTGCTTCTTAATTTTTTGAATAATGACACTTAAACTCAGCTTTAAAGTTAGAGATGGAACAGTCTCAAATTTCAGACGACTCATATTAAACATCATGAAATCATTTTAAGAAAGTTAAAAATAAATAAATTTTTTATGGAGATTTTACTGTGTAATTTTTGCTAAATTACTAATTAATAATTATCTTAAAAATTAGACAATTTCGGTATCAGCGTCAAAATTCTATATGGAATTCTTATAAAAATTAAAAACATAAAAAAGGGCTATTGTGTTGTGTAATCAATGGTTTTTTAATTTTTAATACTTTATAATAGTTTATTAAATTTTACATACTATATTCTTTTTCAAGCATGTCTTCTACTAACGCCTTAATTAAAGCGAACCGTTTTTCTATTTCGTCATTGTAGGATAATTTTGAAACTAAAATAAAAGCAAAATATAAATTGTTATATATTCTACAGATTTGATTCACGTAATATATTACCATCAATCTCAGGAAGGCCTTCTTTATTTACTATAAACAAAACACCAAATTAATAATATTTTTTTAAATTGTATTATACATTTTCTACGTGAATAATAAAATCGTACAATTATTTTTAAATTGTTGATAAAAAATATTAAGAAAATTTTTGAGGATGGGTGTAGAATTTAGGTTTATATTTCAGATGAATGGTGACGTAACAAATAACAGGAATCCCAGTAAATTTCAAAACACTGAAAATTGCGTCTTAAATAAAAGAAATAGTTGAAAATAAAAAAGTTTTACACGTAAAATAATTTTTTTATTAGTAAATAAATTATGCTATTCGGAGACGACCAGAAAAGGACTCAGGAGGCTATTAAGCATCCGTGATTAAACGTGTCATTAACAAAATAATTAACGCGAATCATACAATCCTATTTACTAAATCTGTTAATGCATTTGAATTTTTGTCAATATAAAATCAATTCTGCTGCAATTGTTGCAAACAGAATTCTAAAAAAAAAACCGTTTTTTTGAGGGAGTAAATTTGTTTTATGTAGTACGCGAATAGGGAAATAAAATGTGTTGTCTGATCATTTTTAGGCATATTTCAAATAGCTAATAATATCGATAATAATGTTATACATTTTCTAGTAAAGAAGATATTATAAAATAGGTTTATTGGTTGATATTAGACCATAATAAGGGATGTAGCAAGTGAGTCTATAAACATTTTTTTTGGTGGAAGGGGTTGGAAAATATACATTAAAATAGAATTTTAAAATACATTTCTTTCTTTTTAATAGTATTATTTTAAGTAAAAAATTAGGCTGTCGAATAAATTCTAGATGGAAGATCGTACAATTCAAAATCATGGTTGTAGGGATTTTCTGCATGACTTAAACAGTCGTTAATAATTTTTGCACTCCATGCGATATTTTTCTACTGGTCTTTGGTGATATTTCATTGGCTATTTAAGTGGTTATAATTTTTATTATTTCGGATATCATATTCTGAATCAGTGCTTAATCTTTTATTCTAGTATAAGCCTATTAATATATTAAATGACTTAGTAAATAAAAGATTTTGGAATAAATATTTTTTATTTGTATATAAGCCGGTTGTACTCTATATCAATCAGAAATTTTCAATAGGTGCAATACTGCACCCGTACTAGCATTTTTAACATAGGAGTCACTATAATAACTAGGATAGTGCCAATACTCTGACAGCAATGGTAACAAAGTACTGTTACTAATACAGGATCAGTACTTAGACAAGACGCCAGCCAGTACTATATTAGTATCGATTAGCTAATGGTTAGTACCAGTCATGGTGATATACCTGACTCATTATCAATATTGGTACTTAATACAAATATCTGCTTGGATATTAATTTAATAATAAATGGATATTAATGTGGTAACGTTACCACAAAAGTCAAAAAAAAATTTAATTTGCCATTGTATTTTGTAGAAAATCAAACAAATTAAAGAAACTATTTTTTTTATTGTATAATTTTTATGAATTTATTAAAGTACATTAGATAAAATATAGATATAGTATGGCGCAGTATTATATAATTTACATTATGTATTGTAATATAAATCAATTTACAATTTTTATTGAAACGATAACTTACATTTTGTGAATAAATGATCTTGAAGCATTTTCTCATGTTTCAATCTATCGTTAAGATGTTCATCTAAGATAAAATTATTTATAATCAATTAATTTTTTTAACAATAAACCAGAATTAGAGTTTTTCTCTACTACCTAATTATATAAAAAAAAAACATTTTTTACTAGGGTCGATTTAGTTAAGGCATCACCCCAGACCCGAAGCCCTGCGATGCGTAAGGCTCATAAGGCCGTTCTTATAAGTAGGTCATTAATTCCGGTAGAAGTACACGGCTATGTTAGGCACAATAAGTGTTTTGAAGAAATTTTTTTACATCAGAGTCATTGTAACAAAAGGAACAGATTCATTTTACTACACCTCTCTTAAATCCAAATTTTTTTTCTTCAAAAAGTTTGTTTTTACATGCAGATTTCTAGTGTTTGAAAAAATTTGGAAAAATCATTAGTTTAAAAGTAACAGCTTTTTCAAATATTGTTTTTTTGTTATTATGGTTTAAAATATACATTTAATATGGGATTTTATTAATTTTTTTGTAAAACAATCTAGAAAAAAAAAAATTCCAAAACAAAAATAACTTAAAAAAAAAGGTTTTCTAAGAAAATTATGTGTTATTTTAAAACACGCAATTATACCGATTGTTGGGTACGCATTACGAGAGGGCGTTTTGCTATATCGTATTTCTATGACTGATAACGTCTCTCGCACTACCACCACCGGTTGTGTGAGCGATTCATTGCGTTGGATGAATACGTACGCGATCGTTGTACGACATCGAGTTTTATATACAGTCCACTCCCTATTTCTTTCTTCGGCATAATTAGATAACCCAACTGGACGTTAACTAACCCGCACATTATAACCGGGCGTTCCGTTCAAACACCGATTATCAAAAAAAAAAAAAATGATTTGGTTTTTTTGTGAAAGATATGTAAAATTATGATAATATAATTATTATGTAATTCCGCCCCTTCAAAATGTAAATCTGACAAAATAATATATTTTTTTAAATCTGTCACGTTAAATTTTAAGTGATAAATGTTTCCATTTGATAATACCCATGCTATACTACAATTTAAGGCAAAAAAAAAAAATACAACGATTTGTATGATTGATAAGTATTACTTCCACAAATATGTATATATATACTAGGGTTCGCTTAGCTGGAGCCCTACAAGACTGATGCGCCTTTGGCGCACAAGCCACTTTTAACCGTTCTCTTAAGTAGCCCACTCTTTCTGGTAGGAGTTCTTCCATTACCTAATTATACATTAAAAATATTTTTTACTAGGCTTCGTCCCAGACCTGGGGTCCGGTGCGTAAGCCTCTTTGGGCCATTCTTAAAGTAGGTCACTGATTCTGGTAGCAGTCCGGCTACGCTATGCACGATAAGTGTTTGCAAGACAAATATTACATCAGAATCAGTGTAACAAAAATATATTAATAATTTAATTATTAAAATCAGAAAAATTTAAAAAGAGAAAATAGTAAAATGTATTTGTGATTAAAATCTCTATCATAAGAAACGCTTCTATGCAAATCTGTAAATAGTGTTATAATTTAAGAAATTGATGGATTATTTTAAAAGCAAAATAAACTACTATTTCCTTAATTACATCTTTATTAGTAGTTCTTTGATTTATAAGTAAAATATTTAATAAATACTTATGATAATAACGAAATTTAGTATGAAATTGATATTCAATAATTTAATATTAATAATATTATAAATAATATATTTAATAGTAAAAATTTTACTAAGTTTATTAGTTAATGATATTGTTCTCGTCCATATTTATAATTCTAAACGTATTTATTATAAAAAGATGTAATTTTAAAATCATAAGTATTAAAAAGGGATAAACAAATATGTTATAAAATTTAAGTTTTTTTTTCTAATTAAAACAATTTAAGCTTAAAAACTGAATAAACTTATTGAAGGAGATTTAACACACCTGTTTCATATGGAAGTCGATTTCCTATAAAATAAATAATGATACATTAAGTCGATACATTATTGCTTCATGTTTAGATTTCTTACATTAAGTTAGGTTGGGTTAAAAGGTTAAATAGTTTATAATTGGATTTGTGTTAATTGTGATTTATCCTTTAACGATCTTAGTGCAAATCTACTACAGCTAAAAACCATTGTGACAATGAGATCTTTCTTCAAAAGTTGACAAAAATGAATATGTCAAATATTTCATGGATTGTCTTGTTGATTGAAGTGCTTATAGATTTATCCATGTTTACATTTGAGTTCTGACATTTCGGACTCATTTCACCAAAACAACAGTTTTCACATAAAAAGTCACAATCTGCGAACAAACTGATGGAATGGTAAAGGGATCAAGACTAGCACCATTATTTGCCAACAAATTCATGGAATGGATTGAAGCGGAAGCAATGAGCACGTAACTCAAAAACCAAAAATGTAGTTGCGATATGTAGATGATACATTCGTTTTATGGCAACATGGCGTGGACAAACTACAATCTTTCCTGCAAAATTTAAACAGTATACACGCCAACATACAGTTCAAAATGGAAATTGTGGAAAACCGTAAATTGTCATTCCTGGATGTAATATTAAAAAACAACCTAATGGAAAATTTGGCACAGGAGTGTATAGAAAAAGAACATACAGATAGATATTTACATGCTGATTCACACCATTGCCCCTCACAGAAAATGGTATTATTACACACAATAGCAACAAGAGCCGACAGAATTGCTGATGAAGACCACGTGAATGATGAAAAAACATATTTTCTTCAAGCACTAAATAATAATGGATGCATAATTAAAAACATTAATAAAGGAATGAGAAAAGCAGAGAAATGAAAAAATGCAACGTGTAACAATGAAGATGAAAAGAAAGGAACATTAATACTGCCGTACATACAGGAAATTACCGTCCGCATAACAAGAATCGCACAAAAATTCAAATTATGAACCGTTTTCAAACCAAACACAGTTACAGGATCACTACTCCAAAATCCGAAAGATAAACTGCTAAAGATGTAAACACCAGGAGTATATGAAATATCCGTGTTCATGTGGTAAATCTTACATTGGACAAACAGGAAGAGCTATTGAAGCAAGAATAAAAGATCATGAAAAAGACGTGGGGTACCTAAGAACAGAAATATCTGCAGTAGCTGAACATGCCAAAAACAGAGGACATGACATCCAATTAAATAAAGTAAAAATACTAAACAAAGAAACTCATTTTGTCAAACGGATGTACAAGGAAGCAATAAAAATTGAAAAATGTCCGGAAAATTTCAACAGAGAAGAAGGATGGAAAATAAGCAAAACTTGGTTATCTATCATACACCAGACAAAAAGAAAATCAACCAACAACACCAATAATAATTCAATATACGAAGAGGCTATAATCAACATAATAAACAATTGCCGGTGTAGGAATGGAAGACGGAATTGTCAAGAATGCCGTAAACAACAACGTTACTAAAAACAAAACGTTAGGCAAAGTGCGAGGCAAGCTGTTGCCTCAACCCGAAAGCCGTACTGGTGAAGCTCAAGGGTTATCGGTCTTACATAGAAGTCGCGTTTAACCTCGTGGCCAGCGTGGACATCCAGGCCCTTGGGCTGACGGTTACGGCATTCAAGAGAACCAGGCAAGGTGACATTAGGCTACGGGTTCCGAGAGGACAATTCGAGCTTGCTGAAGCCGCACAGAGCGCTTTGGGAGATGCTGCGGTGGTGACCACCATCGGAAAACCTGTGGAGATTACCATACGGGTCATCGCACCGGAGACCACGATGGAAGACGTTGGCCAGGCGCTTCGGCAGGCGCCGGGAGCCGAGAACTTAGAGGTAGTCCGTGTGACCCCTGGATTCGGTGGTTGCGCTGCCGGGTGAGACTTCAGTTTCGCTTAGAGCGGTGATTCCGGTGTCATGGGTATGGCTGTTTCGCTCGGGAATACCTCCTTGTATGTGTGTGTGTTCTTTGTGTTTGTGAATTATGTACCAACACACAGCAAAGCCCTACCTCAACTCTACGTGGTGCGACCTGGACAACGGATTCCACTCTGATATCGGGCTAACGGGGGAGGTGACGTCGTGTTGTGATTCAGCTCTTGATTAATTTCTGGCTGAGTCACAACATGGTGGTGTGAGTTTTATACGTTGGTCACCCTGAAGCATTTCCTCTCGGTAGTTCTACGGCGGCTGACATTATGTCTACCGTGAAAAAAAAGGGTTTGAAAAAGATACTTTCAGATTTTAACTTGTAATGGTAACAACTTAACTAAAATAAGTGTTGTAATGTAGCAGAATTTATACAAGTTTTTTTTAATATATAAATCTTATCAATTAGATGTGTGTGCAGTAGGTGTAAAGTATTTTAATAATTTTGTATATGATAACCTCCACTTGCCAACCGGTCCGATATCTGTCATCCTATCGTCATTAGCTGACCGTACACTATGCACCTATACCCATATTGTTGTATTTCCCCCCAATGGACGTGTCAAAGTTGGTGTCATCACCACCCGGTGTCACGATCACCGGCCACTACACAAATGCCGCTACAACAGATTTTTTTTTTTACCTATACTGCCGAGGCGGCAAGTCGTGTTTTCTTTATATAATTTTTATTGTGAAAACCACGTTTTTTTTTTTTACATTTATTTTTTTTGTCCTCCGTTTTTTTTTATTAAAATAAACGTTGAGTCGAACTGCCGTCTACTTTGGTGTCAACCAGGCTGTGTATTTTTTTTGTCCTCCGTTTTTTTTGTTAAAATAAACGTCGAGATGATGATGATGTGAGACACAACTATGGCCGGTGGTGGGCCGTCACTCCTCCAAACAATCAACAAACAACAACAAGTATCAACAAGAAACCCCCTTTTTAATTTTGTGTATCTAGCACCGCTCTTTTTCTTCTTTTTTTATTTTTCCTTTATGAATATGTATATATATTAAAAATCTTCAATAATTAAAAAAAAAAATGTTATTATATTATACATGGCATGTTTTTTTTCCTCATTTTTATTAATATTTGTTTTTTTTTATCAAAACCTAGTAGCTCCGTCAACAAGTACTATCTTGTTTGGCGCGGCTACTAGGTCACTGTCCAGTGTTCCCCCTGGGCAGTGGGTAATTAGTAGGCCCTCTGGTTTGGCTGAAATCATACAGTGTTTTAGGTAATTTATTTATTTTTTTTTTATTGAATGTGAACTTGATTGTTTCAAATTAATGTTTACATAATAGCATACCTCTACATGGAAAAATGAATTTCGCCCATGTACCTTTGAACAAATTATTATCAAAATATTAAGGCAATTAATAAAGCATATTAAATATCTAAAAACAAATATTGTTGTGAATAACCTTATTTATCATTGTCAATATTATTGTCAATTTATTGATAGTAAAATTTATATTAAATTTATGCACGTAAATCTCAATAAAATTTCGCGTTGATAATGATAAACTTCAAACGTTTGCACAATGAATCTATTAAGCCTTAGCTACATATACAACTTTACTGATAATTATTAATGTTTATTACCTTTGTTATATCAGCATAGTTATCAGACAAGGAAGATGCAGTATAAAATTTACAGAAAAAATGCCAAAAAATATTATAAAAAATTACACGTTGAACGTGCTATGTGCAACTTTTACGTTTTTAGACCACTGTGAGTTAACTATTTATTTTAGGTGGCCAATTCTGATACAAAAAATATTTAATAAATTTAATATTTCACGATTTTTTAGGCATTTTCAACTTAAATTTTTATAAAATTATGTATAATTTTTTTGGTAAATATTATAAAATTTAAATTAAAAATGATTAAAATTTTGTTGATAATTTAATTTTTACTATTTTTTCAACAAGCGCTCAAAAAAAGGAGCTTACACATTTCAAAATTGATAACATTCTATACAATAATTCTATAATATATTAACATTTGTTAGGTTATATAATTTATAAAAAAATATTATATTCATGTATAAAATAAGTGGGACTATAAATACTGGTAGATAATTGTAGCGTTTATGTGCTACTTATAGTAATATGTCGGTTACTGCCAATTATTGCTTTATTGTTAAATAAGGGAGGTTATAGTGGTTTTTAGAGACTACGTTGTTGTAAAAACGAATGTTTACGGTATACGATGTTATAGAAAAAAGAAGTAAGAGTTCTAAGATTCTAGTCTATTAATTATTTAAACAGGCGTTTGTGTAAAATAACCTTAATCATACAAATGTGAACTTTTTTTATTGTAATGATGCATCCTTGGTTTATGTTTATACTAAGTGTATCATTTCCTATGTGATCATTCAAATACTGAACGTAAAAACATGAATATCACTTTGGTTTAAATAAATAGAAGAATATTTATTATTGAAAAACGCTGTTGATGCATATCGCGGTTGTGATTTTAAACGTTTCATCAGGTAAAGTTATTATCTCAAATTTATTTAATAAATAAAATCCAAAAATTAATGAGTATATTCTTGTTTTATCGCAGATAAGTCCATATATTTGAATTTGTCAAGTATTTTTACTCGGTGTCCTTAGCTAAAATTGTCTAAATGCTTGTAGATTGAAACAAGTAAAGATGCACTTAATTTTTTTCTCAGAATTACATGAAATCTGCTGATAAATGGCATATGTTGTGTAAAATGTCAATAAAAAAAAAATTAAATAATCATAATTTTATGCAATATATAATTGTACATTTAACTATTTCATACTACATGAAAATTAAAAATTGAAGAATTTATAATTTTGATATTAAGTGTTGAAGAAAATTGAAGAAAAAAAATCCAGCCCTTGATAAACTTATGTAAGCTTAAGAACATTTTTTTTTTTTGAAGTGAAAGTTCTTTATAGAGGGTTCAAAAAAATATTATCCAGCGTTTTTTTGAACCCTATTTTTTTTTTTTTTTTTAATTTAAAAACCGCATATTCAATTGGCATTGTGCTGACGAAGCTTCTGATACGAAATAACCGAAATATCAACTTGATGACGTTTACAACGATTTGGTTGTTTATGATGAAATTGTAGCTGTAGCGAATTTGGATGAGGATCAAATTCATACAAACAATGATAACAGTTTCAGTGAAAATAAATTATTAACTGACAATGACGAAAGTGTCTATGATGATAATTTCATTATGCCATACAGTAATTTTCGTTAAATTCAACGAGCCCATAGAGAATTGGAAATAAAATTCACCAATAATCCATATGGTTATGCTTGTTTTGTGTGTGATAGATTGTGTTTCTTAAACGAGTTAAGACTTGCCTCTTCATTTCATGAAAATATCGTGAATACTATTATACTAAATATTCTAATGAAAAATATTTATTTGTGCAACACGCGCTGAGCCTCATTGAATAAAAATAAGATTTCCACAATAGCGATATACAATGGTTTTGAATATCCAACCATGTCTGATAATTTACCGTTATTAAACTTGGTTCCAGAAAGACTAACTTCTCCACGACTTCCATTTATGCATAATAGTAGGTTGAGACATGTAAATGGCCAATATGTCATTTAAGGGCAAATTATCAACATACCAGTCTCTATTGATACCATAATAAAAAGCCTTTATATTTTGTATTTAATTTCATGAAATATAACATGGGCATTTAATTTATTACCGATGAGTATTTCTGCACTAATTAAGTATCTGAGTACGTAAATAAAACCAATAGAGGTATTAGTTAACTTCAAAAACTAATTATTGAAATTATGGATGAACATCCAGAGTTTGGTATTGTTGATGTAACAAGACGAATTGTTGTCTATATGCTCTACAGTACAGAAATGTTAAGTTAAGAAGCTGCGTGGTATTAATTACGGGAACCCATGTCCAAAAGTTCAATCGTTACTGTAATTATTCCAACACTATGACCTTTTTGAACGAAAACATATAAGATAAACTAATAAAGAACTAGATCAAATGGACATCGATGGGGTTTCCACAGACATTTGGAATAAGAATTGGTTTGATAAGTATGAAAAAAGACACAAAGAATTGGAAGAAATTTTGTTAGCTCAATTTGTTGTAAACTATACAGTTGGCTCAGATAGTACGTATATAAAAAGGAAACAGCTTCGCATTATAACAGTCAAGAACAAATTATTGTTGGTCGCTAGAAAGAATTTGTAGCTTCGTTGGACATTGAAAAAACTAATGAGATTTGCAAGAATTCATGTCGTGAAGAAGAATTTCTCGACAACGATGATGCACACGAGGTAGACATGTTCCTGAGCCTAATCCAATCGAGTTGTTGTATAATGATCCTAATGCAGACGTAAACAGTGACATTCGTTTGGCTGTATTAAATAAACTTGTTGCTATTGCAAACAAACGAGAAAATTTAATGAATAATGATGAGTTTTATGAGCTTATGCGTAAATCAAACGAAAAGCAAAGAGGAATTTTGATGGCGATAATTAGTAACCTTTTGTCTTTAAACCTTGTGATACTTCAAATATTTTTCATTGGCTCTTCTGGATGTGCAAAAACGTTTGTTATAAAATTACTAATGGAAATTTATAACCGTTATACGGATAATGATGGCCACTTGTGCATGTATACTTCAACGAGTAAAGCTGCAGTAGTGATGAATGGAACCACAGTTTATACGGCATTTAAAATATCAGTATCTAAATTGTTGCCATTGTCTTTGGAAATTACCTATCAATATCGCACGTTGTTTAAATATGTTAAAGTCATCATTATCGATTAAATAAGTATGATTGGCGCTGAATTGTTAATCAAAATCAACGAACGTCTGCAGCAAATCACATGCAATTTCAAGGAAAATTTTAGAGGATTGGATGTTATTTTCATCGGTGACTTGCATCAGCTACCACCAGTTTGAGCGACTTCAATCTATCTGCCAACAAAAAGAAATATTTTTGGGAAAATTTTATAGAAGGGCCTTCAATTTTATGAGCTAGATCAAGTCATGAGACAGGCTAATGTACCATTCCCATCTATCCTGACTAAAATTGGTAATGGTGATAGGCTTGATGATCTTGAACTGACTCTAATACAATCAAAATTTTTTCCTAAAGCTGATGTTGATATACTTTGTCCAAGTGGAATTCGCGTATTTAACATTAACCACTCAGTTAATAAGTACAAACACCAAATTTTAAATGTTACCAGAGAAAAGGCTGTTTCAACAGCAAAATATATTTACATTGGTTGTTCATCAGCAAATCAGGAAGCTCTCTTGCGACAAAGCTCCATTATATGTCATTTATCGATATAGGTGGGTTATCATATAAATCAATATTTGTCAAAAATATCCGTTATTTGATAATAACCAATATTGACGTATCTAATGGTTTGGCTAATATTGCGGTGGGAAAGCTAGTCCATCTTGAATGAAATGAAGCTGGAGAAGTGACTGTTGTTTGGCTCGATTTTCCTCATTATCCGAATACTGGAAATAAAATTAAGAGAAAAGTTACTGGTCATATGACCGCAAATAACATTAGCCGAACAGCAGTTCCAATCTCTAGGAGATCACCTACCATTAATTTGAATCAAAGCAAAACCATCTGTGTAAAGCGTTCACACTTGCCTGTAATCTGTGCTTATGTGACGACTATTCAAAAATTGCAAGGAAACTTTTATGCTGAAGTGGTGTATGAATACGACAAAAATCATTGCTATATGTAGATTTATCACGAGTTGCTGATCTTCACGAACTGTTCAATATTACTAAAAATAATGAAGATTTGACGTTTTGTCATGGAAGGATAACATCTGATTCCACAAAGCGCCTTCGTGATTAATTTACAAGACTTTCCACTCGCTCTTTATTCACAATTGACAAACTAATAAACGATTATCTTAAGGACCAATCGGAAATACCAATTCATAGTCTAAATTGTCAAAGTCACCAAGCTCATTCATTAGACATCCTTGATATCGTCATTCAAAATTCGTAAACGTTAATTTTTTTCGAGACCTAAGAATATAAAAACGAGAATACTATAATCCCTAATATTCGCTGTATCATTAAATATAAGCGACCAAACGTAAATCTGGAAAAGTAGCTATTTATCATCGTCATGCGATATAGTTAATATTGTCACTCCATCGATTGAGATGACATTAGGACAATCACAGTTATTTAGTTCTAAAAGTACTCCAGTAGGTGATTTTTGTGTTGTTGAGTTTTTAAGACAAAAGGAACAAATCATCATTATTGTAGCAATTTATATCTCACCAAATCAAAAAATAGATTATTTAGTTTATTTTTTAAATAGATCGCTGTTTACCTATATTACAGAAGATGCAGCATTACTCGGCAAGGGAGAAGATAAATTCCCTATGATTCTGAGTGGAGACTTTAATGTTAATTTCGCATCAGATAGATCAGAACCATAAAAAAATTTTTTACGTGAAAATCTTTATTTATCAATGAATAATGATACAATAACTCAAACAACTCGATCAGGAACCACAACAGATTCAATTTTCACTCGATATATTAATAACATCCCATCGAAAACTTATCATCATCGATCACTTATTTCATTTTCCATAAGCCTATTATATCTTATTTCACATAGAAAAATAAAATTAATTCATTTCAATTGAAAATAGAATTTTTAAGTGTATTTTTTAAAATTGTATCCCAATATAAACCTAATATTCTATCAGTTTCACTTCAAATGAATTTCTGTTATTGCAGCAAGATTTTTCTTAATGTTGTTTAATTTCATAGTTTTAGTCTAAAATGTGACATGTCATTAAAAAAAAAAAACCCAATTATTTAAAATGTTTTAGTAAAATTAAGAAATGTTTCACAATAATCCTTGAATTTGGATTTTGTTTTTAAAGCTTAAATTTTAAATGATCATATATTTCTATATTAAACTAGAATTATATTTAGTACGAGTAAATAAATTGTGCTAAAAATTTTTTAAAGTTTTGAGATTAATAAGTTTTTGTTTTACATAAAGTAAAATAAAAAACTAAAATAATTCAAAATATTTAAAAGTAACTTTCTCATGGCCACAACAATTTGTTATATCATATTTCAATGTTTTAATTTAAAAATTTAATTAAAATAATTTAGTCATTAAGTATTATTTTTTTAAATTAAAAAACTTAAAATATTTAATTTATCAGTTATATATTTAAACTATACTTATATTTATGAGGTTGTTAAATCAACTTGATAATTGACGTTTTACATGTAAACTTTTTAGTATGAGGGTGATAGTATCATTTTTTTTCAATCAGGGCTGTTAAAATGCCAATTATTAATTTAGTACATTGTACATTGTCCAAATCTTAACGTGAACCAATTAGATTTTTTATTTAAATTTAGTATATATATTTATCTATACACTTTCATATATTTTGTAATTACAAAAAAATAAATCCCCTTTTATACTTGCATATATTACTACTGTAATTGTACTTATACTATTACTTAATTGAAATTTTATTATTTTACATGCTTTTATTTATTAATACTTTAAATTTTTATTTAAATAGAAACTTATAACTTTACATGTATATCTGTGTTTAATTAAAGTTTTCCCATGTTTATAGAAATTGTATACACTTTATTTAACACCTAAAATTTACTTACTATTATGGTCCATAAAAATAAATTATATTTTATGCTCTAGATTTTTATTAAAGAATTATTATTTAAAAAAATTATGAGGTGTTGTAACCTTAATTATTATTTTGTATATTTAGCTAGGCTGAAATATTCAGTTTGCATTAAATTATTTAAATAAAAGTAGTTTTTAATTTATTAGCTAGTATTAACATTAACATTAGTGATTTTAAGCGAAATTGTGACCTATTAAAATAAGATAACTAATATTATAAAAATGAGATAAACACAAACTCATGTAATTTTCCATAAAAAAAACGATGTAATAGTATATTTAAATTTGAATTAAATGTAAAACTTAAGTTTACATAAATGTATTAATTTTTTTAATACTTACTATGTTCTTTATTGTACTGTGTAAAATAATTTAGAGCCATAATGAACTGATTTTTTAAATCTAATGCAAAAAAATCAGTTAATATTTTGTAAAGCTGAAATACTTGAGGTTATTTTAGCAAGAATTTTTATTTTTGGTTTTATTGTATAATATAGAGTAATAAATCTGCATACATTGTATACAAACTTACTTTATTTATAAAACACTATCCAAATAATTCGATATAAAATGTACTACTTGTTCGTCCCACGTTTTGTAAAAAAATCAAGTAGCCGTTCTATTTGTATAAAAATTGTATAGAAAATGTGGTGTGGTGGAGTTTTTATTTTGTGTTTTTAGTTTTTATAGAGAAATTCTTATTTTTTATAAAAATCCAATAAGTTAGGTTCAAATGAAATTATTATGAATATAGGTAATTACTAACGATACTGGTATTATGAATTCAAAATAAATTAATATTGATATGAGGTTTCATATTCTATAAATTAATATATTTTCTTCTTATAAATGTACTAATTAATTCGTTGAGCGTGTTAAGGAAAAACTGTGGAATAAAAAAAAACGTGCTAAATAAATGCCAAACAAATTTTACTTGGTTAGTTTATCTTCATTTAAAATCCAATAAAATGATATACGAAATTTATTCTTAATGAAGTTAAAGATTATTCTTATAGAAACATGACATATCAATTACTATTATATTATTTAAAATTTCAAAAGTCTTTTTGAATTATTTACATTTACCTATCAAATAGTTAAATTGATTATTTATAAATATTATGCTTTGTGTATATGATCTATTTTTTAAAAATTACAATTTAATTAAAACAATGATTAATGATTAATGTCATTATTGTCATTAATTTTATTATGAAAATACTAAAATCACTTATTTATATTAATCCTGAAAATGTAACACTTATTTTAAATTACATTAATATTATTAAAAAGACTTTAATAATCACCAAAATTAAATCTTTTAGTTTATAAGATAAATACACCAATTTAAAAATGTAATAACTGTCTATTTAAAATGACTTTCATCAACAGTTATTAATCTTTGTCATAATAATAAAATACAAAAATATTCAATAATAGTCAGTTATTAAAAAATTTCAAATTCAGTAAAAATATTTAAATGGTCATGTACAGTAAATAATTGAACGATTTGTTCTCGATAAAGCCTAGAAACAGAATGATATCTATATCATTATAGTAATCGTCATATTAATTTAATTTAAGATGTCTTAATATTTTATTTGTGTAATTATTTCTAATGGAATGAAATAATTAATATTTTCTTAGATTTTACAAAAAAGATTATAATAATATTTAACATTAATATTGTTAGGGAATTAGAATGGGGAAAAAAAGATATCCTTTTATACAATTTATAAAATTTTAAATATATTTTGAAATGTAGTTTATTTTTTTTTTATTTTTTCGGGGGGACAGAGGANAAATCACTTATTTATATTAATCCTGAAAATTTAACACTTATTTTAAATTACATTAATATTATTAAAAAAGCTTTAATAATTACCAAAACTAAATCTTTTAGTTTATAAGATAAATACACCAATTTAAAAATGTAATAACTGTCTATTTAAAATGACTTTCATCAACAGTTATTAATCTTTGTCATAATAATAAAATACAAAAATATTCAATAATAGTCAGTTATTAAAAAATTTCAAATTCAGTAAAAATATTTAAATGGTCATGTACAGTAAATAATTGAACGATTTGTTCTCGATAAAGCCTAGAAACATAATGATATCTATATCATTATAGTAATCGTCATATTAATTTAATTTAAGATGTCTTAATATTTCATTTGTGTAATTATTTCTGTAGCGAGGTGTAATATATAGAAGTAATAAACACTTTTACGGTTTAATAGCAACTATACTATATTACAACGAACTAACAAATAACAGCGAGAGACGAAGCGCGTTTAAGACAGAATGCGTAAGTGATTGACTGATCGATTGATTGACTGGAGCGACGATCTTGCCCTTAAATAGTCAGAGGAATCTTCTAGAGGCGGCGGCGGAACGCTCTAGAACATTCGACCGCCACACGCTTATGTAGAGCGACGAATCTTCTAGAGGCGGCGGCGGCCGAACATTCTAGAACATTCGACCGCCACATTTCTAATGGAATGAAATAATTAATATTTTCTTAGATTTTACAAAAAAGATTATAATAATATTTTACATTAATATTGATAGGGAATTAGAATGGGGAAAAAAAGATATCCTTTTATACAATTTATAAAATTTAAATATATTTTGAAATGTAGTTTATTTTTTTTATTTTTTTGGGGGGACAGAGGATTTTTGTATAAATCTAATTTAAATTATTTATGTAACATTAACTATTTTATATGATAAATGTTCCATTCTGTGTTATTTTGAACTTATTTTTGTTTAAATGTTCAATTCATTCTTAAATTTGATTTAAGTTAATGAGAAAACTTTGTATAAAATAAAGCATAATCATTTATCATACCTTTATTATTATTTGCTTTTTCTAACAAAATATCTAAAACAGTAAAAAATGTATGATAAAAAAATAAAGTTTCAATTTTAATTAATAATTGCAGACTTGAAATCAACAACGTGCTATGTACCAAAAATTAAAAATTGTGTTAGTACCAGAAAAATGTTCTTAATTATTATTAGTATGACTGTTTTAATAAATTAGTTGGTGGTGTTTTAGTGTATTATCGTTTGTGTGTTTGTTGGTGTTGTAAGCATACGACGTCTGTAAATATCGGATGTGGTAGTCATACTCTCATGGGGTCAAAAATGTTTATTAAAATTTAAGCATATCTTTTTAGTTGCGTTTTGACCACCGGCAAGTACGGACGCTTTTATCGAACTTGTTTCCGCTGTTATCGCTAGATTAGTTGTTTCTGTCGATTGTCGTTTTCAATACATTTATTTTCTTTTTTTGTATGTCTCGTTTAGTGATCTTTTAAATGTGTAATCGGGCCCCGGTGGAGGAGGGCCGATCTTCCCTCATTGACGACCGGAGTCGCTCTCTTTAACTAAACATTATTTATCCAATGAGAGCTTGTTACCTTCAATAAAACCTCAAATCGCCATCCAGGCCGTCAGCAAAAAGAGCCAAAACTGGTTCCATCTCTCCACCGTCATCACCAAACGATGTTATCATGACCGATGGTGCGTTGAACAATAATTCTAATATCAATTCAAACGTTACACACCATAAAGATAACCCATCTATTCCATATACCGGTCACATAAAACCACTTAGTCTATCAACAATGTTTTATTCGGTGTCTCGCCTAGCGCGCGTAGCTCCGTTCAGTGCGCTAGATATCTTCGCTTCAGTCACACACACAAATTTTGCCATAGTAAAGAATGCTGCGGGCACTGCGGCTTAGCAGAACACACCACGTCACTCTGCCCTGATATATCTACTTCTCCGCCTTCCTGTATTTTTTGATACAAAAATGATGACAACTCTAAATAATGCCAATAATTCTTTGAACTCCNGTCACTTAAACCACCCCTCAACCGATCGGTCTTGCGTCGAATGAACTATTCAAAAAGTCATAAAAAAATTATGGCTGTGAACAATATTTTTTATTCTTAAGCCGCAGCAATTAAGTGTTCTGGTATTATCAACTCAGCCTTTTCCTACGCACAAGTTACAAATAATAATACTTCTAACAGGAACAATAATATTAATAATGTTAAAAATTCTAATAATATTAATAATGAACAGCCAGCCAGACCTCATACAATAGATAGCAATTTACTTACCTCCTCTTTTCCTACTCTCAATACTTCTTTCGCACAAAAACAAAAAAAAAACTGCTGCAAATATTCATAACGCCAATTTTTACCCCCCATTCCCCTTACTCAACACTGATAATGAACACTCCGTTTCCTCTAATAGTAGTTACCTTAATTACGTATCCTCCATTAATTCCCCTACACATGAAATTAATAATTGGATTTCGTCCTATGTTGATCAACTATCTTAGTCCCTTATTTGCGATCCTAACTCGCTTTCTTCTTTTGCCTCGCTCCGTTCTTTTGTTGAATTTTCCTTATTTAACGTCAAATTTTTAGAGACAATTAATGATGTCAACTCTAAATAATGCCAATAATTCTTTGAACTCCTGTCCTGCCTTTAATATTTTACAATAGAATATACGCAGTATTATTTCACACACTCATGACCTTTCTTACCTCTTATCTGAACAAAAATGCTCCTTTGCTCTTTAATCAAAGACTTGGATTTTACCCAAACGGTCCTACCACATCAGTAATTTTAACCTCATTCGTTCTGATAGACAGGATGGTTACGGTGGAGTGGCTATTGCTGCCAATTACACCATTCAAATTTCCCCTATTACTATTAACGAAAATCTTTTAAATTCTCTACGTATTCATTCAATTGACCTTGATGGTATCGTTGCTTTCTCTAAACATTCTTCTCCTGTATGTCTTTGGTCTATTTATATTACCCCCTTATCCAACCCTCATCCATCACTCATTAATTCTATCTTTAATAATTAAACAAATTATTTGTTTCCTCCTAACACCATTATAGGTGGAGACTTAAATGGTCACCATCCAACATAGGGTTTTCATGACAGTAATTATCATGGCAATTTTATTTTTTCTTCTATTTGTTCTTTTAATTTAAGAATTATTAATGACGGCTCCCCTACTATCGCTAATCGCCCTCCTATTGCCGACACAGCTATTGATATTATTTTTACTTCTCTTTCATTATCTTGGTCTCTTCATTAGTCTGTTCTTGATTGCGTCTATGGTAGCAACCAATACCCTATTGTAATTTCTTACTCTTCGCTTTACCCCAATTATGCTCCTGATCCTCCTCCCCAATCTCATTATCCCTTATTTAATTTAAACGAAGCCAATTGGGGCTTTTCTTCAGCTTACACTACTGTTCTTCTTTTTAACTTTTCTCTCTCATCCTGCCCTTTAATTGACTATAAAACTTTTGTCACTATACTTAAAAATGCGGCTTACTCCTCTGTACCTATAAAAAAAAGCACTAAAAAATATTCCTTCCATCCCCATTATGGTGTTCTATTGTCTGTGCTAATGCCGTTAAAGAACTCTTTCAAGCCTTTGGATTGTACAGATTTACTGGTGCAGTCTCAGATTTCATTTTCTATCGGCGTATTTGTTCTACCACAACTCGCACTTTAAAAATAGCAAAAAATGATACTTGCCATTCTATTTGCTCGTCTCTTAATCCATCTTCATCCTTCCCTCACATATGGTCAACTGCTAGAGAGTTTAAAAACTGCGTAAATCGCCGTTCCTCTTCTCTTAACAAAACATGGTTTCCATCATTCTGTAATAAAGTTCCTCCTTCTTATGTTCCATCTTTTAAAGAATCAACCCCTACTCCATTCCTTTCCTCTCTACTTATAACTCTGTTTCTCACCCTTGAACTATGCCGTTTACTTCTAAAGAGCTCACATTAGCATTTTATTCACGCGCTTCTTCTGCTTATGATCTTGATGGCATCTCTCCATTAATGTTAAAACATCTTCCCCAATTTGGTCTTGATAATTTCCTAATCATATTAAACTCTATTTGGACCGATTGTTTAATTCTTAATAACTCCTTCTTGGAAATGTTTTCATGTTATTCCTATACAAAACTTCAATCTACCCCAGCTTTTTTCCGACCTATCACTCTTTCCTCCTCACTTTGTAAAACTGTTGATTCATGATCAAGTCTTGACTAGACTGGTTTCTAGAAAACAACACTCTCTTACCTAATAATCTCTTTGTTTTCAGGAGAGGTTTGGGTACAATGAATTGTCTTTCTTCTTTTATTGGTCCTATCTACGAGCCATTTTGTAATAAAGAATTTTTTTCCAGCTATTTTTATCAACATTAAAGGAGTTTTCGATTTCGTGCATATACCCACCCTTATCGAGCGTTTATACTCAATCAATGTTCCCCTTTTCTTTATAATATTCTATCATCTTTTTTCTCTCATCGCCTCCTTTTTATTTCTTCCCCGTTAGGACTATCGGTTTCTAGATCTACGTATAAAGGATTACCTCAGGATAATTGCTTTAGATCCATTCTTTTTAATATTTACATGAGTCCTATTAGTAATAACCTTTTCTCTTATGGGTGTTCCTCTCTGTTTTATGCAGATTATATTGTTATCTTTTACTCTGACAGCTGTCTTACAAGCGCTATATCTACCTTTAATAATTCATTATCTATTCTTTCCTCTAGTCTCCTTTCTTCTTATTTCACTTTAGCACTAGAAAAAAACACATTCATTATTTTTACAAGGAAATATCTGTCCCTCATTATTTCTCAAGTCTGTCTAGACGGACACTTTTTCTACCCTTCATTCTCTGTTACATATCTAGGTCTTATTCTAGATCCTAAGTTAAGATGGGTTCCTCATTTACAATATCTTTTCTCATTTTTATAGCGTTGGTCTAATTTCCTTCGTGGCATTATTGGCACCTTGTGGGGCTGTCACCCTTCTTCTCTTCTATTAATCATCAATTCAATTATCAGTGCCAAAATAAACTACGGCGCATTTCATTTTTCCTCTGCTTCTTTATGCCATCGTAAAAAATTAAATACTTTATTTGAATCTTGCTTACGCATCCGTTATCGGTGCCCTAAATTTTACACCGCTTCTTAGTCTTAAACTAAAATATTATTGCCCCCTATTGAAATTAGATGTAGCCGTCTAGCTGGAAAATTTTTACTGAAATCTTTAGCTTTTCATAACTCAATAATTTTTTGATACATTCAAGTCAGTTCAGGTGTGTTGGCGCTATGTCTCCAAAACTTAACCTATACTTGTTTCTCTATGTACATCACTTACTACTTTGGTCAATGCTTTTCAAAAATCGCATAGTAGGCTCCTTATTTATGATAGTCCTTTCGATGCCCTCTTACTTCCCTTATAAGTACCATTTTGCCTAACTTATCTTATGTAACTACCACTTTAAGCCTTCATTTTCTTCCCTCAACCTTTTCAATTCTTATATTTACGAAAACTTTCCAAACTTCTGCTTAATTTTCACTAATGGGTCCGTCACGTCCCTTAAAGTAGGTTGTGCGTACTTCATCTCTTCTTTTCTTTTAAAATCCGATGCCTCTTATCATATTTTAAATCTTTCCTTATCTAATGCTTGGTCAACCAAATGGTCCTCACTTGCCTCATATTTTGCTCAATGGCATCGATCAATAACCCCATATCCCTCAAATTTCCCCTGGTTCCATCGTCTTGATCTCCCCTGCAAATCTATCGCCGCTTTCTCCCGCTTAAGAGTTGGTCACAATCTTCTAATCAATTTCGCCTTCAAACTTCACCTTAATTCTGTTCCTCTCTGCCACATTCACGAAGAGGAATTTATAAAGAAGATTCCCCTCATTTTTTAATATTTTGTCTTGCTCTAAATTCCAATAGGTTCTTGTTATTCAACTTCCTAGCCACTCATGGTATCACTAATCCTAATCCTTAATTCTGGTAATGTGTTCATTATTAACTCAATTATACCTATTCTTTTGTGTGCTGGTTGCTCCATTTAACTTACTTGCAATGATTGACTATAGTAATTTGTATTATATTTCATTTTATTTTTAACTCATAACATGAATATCTCTTGTAAATAATTTTATTACACTTTTGTTTTCTTTCCTGTTACTTTTTTGTTGTAACTGTATATATTTGTAATATTTACTGTTGTTTTACATTTTAATTGTTGAGCCATAATATTTTTAAATAAAGGCTATTTATAAAAAAAAAAAAAATAAACATATCTTTTGTAAACGTAAGGGGCTGCGAAAAAATGTAAATTTTTTCATGAATTGCTACAGGTATAAGTTATTTGAGCGTTTTACATTTTTATTAAGAATTTTTTTCATGAATTACTTAAAATAAATTTTATGGCACATAGCATGTTATTGGTTTCAACTCGTCACTTATAATGTTGTCATTAAACATATAAAAATATATTGAAAAATTACTTATTGAGATTCGATTTTTACAATTTTTTTGTTAATGAAACTTAGTCCGGAATTACTCCGAAAAAATTGTTCATGATGATCAGATAATATTTTTTAATATTCCCAGAACGTTGCAACATAATATTGTAAATTAGTTTTTTGGTCTTCGTTAATTATTGTATTTCTGATTTTTGATTAATTATTGTATTTTGATCATGTATTTAATTTCTGATTGGAATGAAGTCATTTTAAATGGGAGACTTCACAATGACCTTATAATGAAGCTAGTGCACTTTGAATTAGTATGATACCTCTCTAGTAAACATTTTTAGCAGCTGTAAGACCCTTTATTTCAATGATCAGACGGCCTGCTATCATTTGGTTTGACAGTAATATAAATTTTATTGGTGCAAGTAAGGAGTAAGTGTTACTTGAAAAACAGAAGAAAGGTGTACCATACTAAAACAATTGACTAATGAAGGAATTCTATGGAAATTTATACCACCCTGTGCAATCTACTTCTGTGGATTCTGAAAGCACGAGTGAAGTCACTAAAATAGCACTTTAGAAGAACAATAGTAGAAGAAAATTTAAAATTTTGATGAACAATTCACAGTCTTAAGTCAAATATAAAGATGTGTTTGGTACTGTTTGCACTGCGAGTGTAACCTACCTAATCAGGTTTTATTTTATGGGTAGTTGCTTACAATATTTTTTTTATTCGTTCGTGGAAGTGCCTTCTAGATAG